TGTCTTTTTAAATCCGAATGAATTTTTATGGCATTTCTTGTAAAAAAAATGCCATTGTGGCATTTATGTGAGATTTTTAATACATTATGGTATTTTTGGAAATTTTCCCTTTCTTTATTTCTACTTTTAATTAGGTTAAGATTTTGCGATTTCGGTTTTGTGCATATCATATTTTTCGCTATAGTTAATTTCTTTGACATCATTGGTAGATTAATCTTTGCGGAATAGTGTGAAATGGTAGAAAATAAAACCACTATACAAAAATAATTTCAACTTAAATTCTCTAAAATGGTAACAAACAAATATTGTTTTTGTCTTGTGGTTTTGGACATTTGTGTGACAAGAAAAAAACTACAAAAATCAAATGATTTTCATTCAAATCATATGCAGGTTACAAATTCGAATCAGATATATTTTCAATCTAATAAAGTTTTCCATTTTTCTTTCATTAGAATTGACCTTAAACTAATAGTTTTGGACTGTAATGAACATTTTAAAAGACAATGATTCGAACCAAAGACACTTCCGAAGTTAAGTGAAGGGTACAAAGATTGTTTGATCCAAAAAAATATCTAAAGAGACATACAAACACTGGAGATAATCATTGAACACAATCACGCATTGGTTTTCTTCAGGGACACACTTCTAAAGTTTACGAAACATATAGATTGATCTACAAATTTACAGGTTCCTATATGTTCCCTGAGGATAAGAGAGAGAGTAACAAATAAAATGCAGATTTTTACCTGCAATTTGCTCTTGACAAAGCCTTTTAATGACCTCTCTTCCTTCTTGAGAGATGTTGAATCATGTAGTATCTAACATTCGTGTGCCCAAATAAGCAAGAATCTGTATAAAAACCTACAAGATCCAAGAGAAGGATGTAACGTTTAAAGATTGTTTCTAGAAAACTTGGAGTTATGATTTTAGATTTTCATAATATTTATTCACCTGTCAATTTTTCTTGAGAGTTTCCGAAACCACGGTTTAAGTTCTCAAATATTAAGAACCTCGATAGTGTACTGCAAGGGAAGAAACAAAGGAGACTGATACTGTTACAGAGACTCTGATGGAACAATATAACTCATGAGAACCAAGAGAAGAGGGACTCACATAGAAGAAACAAGATTAGCATTAAGGAAAGAATGAGCTGAATCGGGCGGCTAATTGGAGCGCGAAAACGCCTTTGATAATAACCAACTCTGTCAAAGAGCTGCACAATAATAAACAACTAACTCTGTCAAAGAGCTGCACAATAATAAACAACTAAGACTTACGATCAAATCTAATTGTTACCTGATTATAATCACGACATCTTTGCATCCAAAACAGAGGTTTATATCCTTTTTCTTTAGGAGTGGCTTCGATTTGCGACAGAAGTTTCTTCCTCTCATCTTCTTTGGCATCAACAGAAACATTAATCCTCAACGCACTGATATTCGGTACATTTGGTGAACTCCATGTTCTTCTTGTACCGCCTTTTTTATCTGCCTGCATGCGGATAATGGAACCAGCGCTTTCCGGGCTTCCTCTCTCATCAATGTCAATCACACAATCGGGACTGTCACCGTAAAATCTAGCCTCTCTTCTGCCGTTCATCCCACGTGTATTTTCTGCTACGGAACTTGTAGAGGAATCTCTCAAGTTGATGCTTTCACTGTTTAAACTCTCTGAGGTTTGAGAAGATCCAGATAGAAACATGGCAAGGTCGTCACGTTCTTCTTTGTTAAGATCCACCCAACGCAAAGGTTGTTTTCCATTCTCGCTTAAAGCCTCTTGCAGAGCAGATTCAACTCGATAAATCTGGTTTTCGATAGCGGCGACAAATTGTTTATGCCTGGTTAAGGTAGTGTCGTCGCGACAATTTCCATGGCTCAACCTCACTGCCCTCTCAAACTCTTCCAACTGATTCAAGTCACAACAATATACACCAAAATCACTGACTCTTAAGAAAATTACAAACAATAAACTGATAAAGAACCGCTAAAAAACAGGGAATGTTCGATCAAAAGAACATTTTTGAGTTAAGCTTATTTTTTGGGTACCTGCCATTTGGCTGTGCTCAAAGCTGCATGAAGTTCTTTGCAGAGCTCGTCTGATTCAACGTAAACTCGACCTTCTTTCTTCTCTTTAATCCACAATCTATACGCAGATTCCAATCTGCAAATACAACAAAATGAACAGAAACAATTGAATAACTTCAATTCCACAC